TTCTTTACAAGGTGATTTCATTACCTTTGCAAAAATAAGTTTGGCTTTACGATTTTTATGTAATAAAAATTTCATTCAAATTTTAATTTATAAATTGTTTCTGTCTCACTCACGCAGCGTGCAATGCGCAAACGCGGCAGGCATGACAGAAGCTATTTACATGTTATCGTCTGGATCGAGCTTGCAAGGCACTCTCCCATCTATTTGCAGCTCAAATTAAAGTTTATTAGTTATTTCAAGCACCATCTTTAAAATATTAAAAATATAATTTTAATATACTTGCCCTTGCAGTACTTATTCCGTTTTTAAATAATTTTTTTAACAGAAAAAAACTCATTGTGATAGGTGACTTTGAATCGTCATTTCTCCGGCTCCAGTACAATCTACGAATATCTATTTGCAGTTCAAATTAAAGCTCATTTCAAGCGCTATGCCGCCGTCTGTAGAAATATAAGTATACTTACCACTGCAGCACTCATTATTATCATGCCGTCTTCATAGATTTTATTTACGCTATAGCTCTATAGGCTACGTTCAAACTATTATTGGTTTTAAAATTATAGAAAATTATATTAATATAGGTAATAAACCTATCGACCCAGGATACAGAAAACAGGATACAGGAAATCAATAATATTTTGGACATAGTCCGAGGGTTTTAAAAAATTTTAAAGCTCTCGGTTATTATTCATATTCTCATTTTTTCTTCCGAGCACATACCTTATACGGCTATAGGGTAAAGAGTTATTATAAGGTTAAAAGACTTACAGTTTGGGAGGTATTAATTTCTCTCGTTTTTCCTCCAAACCCACGGCTTATAAATAAAGGAGTTATTTAGTTTAAAGGGCTTACGGTTTGGAATATATATTTATTTCTCTCTTTACTTTCTGTAGGTACACTGTTTATAGGGGCATAGGGCAAAATAATAAAATTTGTGTTATTTTTTTGACCTGGGAAAATCCCATTTCTATAAAAGATTCAATTTTCATTTTTACGTTCTTCTTTTTCCTTTTCAATTTACGGTGGCTATATCTCAAGAATTTATAAAAAATTTTCTTATACTTTTGGCGCCTCGTTAGTCGTTTGGTGGCCTATTTTTCAAAATAAGTCGGGTTTTGCCGACTGCCCGACCTGGCCAGACCGGGCCTGACTATAACTCTATCTCTCTCGCACACAATCAGACAAAAACGACAGAAACGAACCTTCTTTTAAAAATACATGGGATTTATCATTATTAGAATAACCCATTTTAATTTAAAAAATTAAAAAAATTACAATGGGTTATTCTGATGACGAAAAATAAAACATAATTAACTGTATTATTCAAATAACAATAATGTGCAAAAGTTCTTCAAGAATATTGGCAAATTTACTTTGGAGGAAGAATCCCGTCAACGAACATTAAAAAATATTATTAGAAACCTTATACTCCGCGGTCGAAATTATAAAGAGTGACTAAGACATAATATAAAAACACTATTACCATAATGCGTATAAAATATTTATAAAATGATTTTTATACGGTTCGATATTATTTATCTTTGTGCTGCTTGCTACGCACATCGATAGAATTATACGATCAAACGAACTTACCTTAAGTGAAGTTCGATCGTGATTATACGAAGCGTCCAGTCTGAGTGTATTATCTTGATTTTTTACTATGTAGTCCGCCCCTGGGCTACCCACCGTGCACCATTTAAAGAATTCGAACAAAAAATGTCCGTGCCTCCCGCTCTCGCCCGTTGTGTGCGGTGCCCTTCAATTCATTCGTTTCTGGTGCACCACGCCGTGCGGACGGACGAGCGCTAGGCTTACGCTTTGGCATATCGGTGTCAATTACAATACGTAAGTACACTTGAATATTATAATATTTATTGTTGTTTAGAGTTTTGTCCAAAATGGGCAAGTCAAAGAAGAGAAATAGGTCCCACAGCAGATCGTCCGAAAGGCGAATATTAAAGAAAGAAAACAGGGACCTGCGGAAAAGATTAGAGAGTCTGGAACGAGACAGGGCAAAAAGACACTTATCGGTGTCTAATAGACATTCTCGTTCGCCGAGATCCGCTATCATTAGTCGTCGTTCACGATCCCGTCACCGAGAAGGTCGTTCCCGGAGTGAAACGAATTCTTATAGGGATCTATCGGAGTCGAAAAATTCATCTAATTCCCGTCAACGTGAAGGTCGTTCTCGGAGTAGAATGACTTCTTGCAGGGATCCATCACAATCAAGGTATTCTTCTAAATCTCGTCAGCGNTGCGTTCATATTGACCCCAATTTCGGGATTTATTTTAGGAGGCGACATTAATTTACAATTTTCGGGTAGGTCGTATTTTTTGAAAAGCTGATCCGCCTCATCTTTTGGGATGCCAAACGCCAAAATGTGGGACCATATTGCGTCTATAGCTGCGTGTATTTTAAAATTGGTTTTTTCTAATTTCGAAGGGTCCGGTCCTAGAATATTTCTAGTTTCCTCGGACAGTCCACTATCATCCATCAGTATCAAGGAAGGTGAGTCGTCTATTTTAACAGTTGCCGAAATGTCTTCTTGAGCCGGCCCTGTTCCCTCTGACAGCGCGCCGCCCTGAAAATGCTCGCTAGCATTGAAAATTTCGGTGTCTACCGTGGCACACGGCCCACGACCGATGCCTGAATCTACTCTGCTGTACAGTGAAATTGCGACACTAGGGCTGCGACTTTCTTGCTGTGGGCGCTCATAATTTCTATAGTCTCTACGTGAACTCATCTCACTGGGAGAATGACCTTCACGCTGACGAGATTTAGAAGAATACCTTGATTGTGATGGATCCCTGCAAGAAGTCATTCTACTCCGAGAACGACCTTCACGTTGACGGGAATTAGATGAATTTTTCGACTCCGATAGATCCCTATAAGAATTCGTTTCACTCCGGGAACGACCTTCTCGGTGACGGGATCGTGAACGACGACTAATGATAGCGGATCTCGGCGAACGAGAATGTCTATTAGACACCGATAAGTGTCTTTTTGCCCTGTCTCGTTCCAGACTCTCTAATCTTTTCCGCAGGTCCCTGTTTTCTTTCTTTAATATTCGCCTTTCGGACGATCTGCTGTGGGACCTATTTCTCTTCTTTGATTTGCCCATTTCGGACAAAACTCTAAACAACAATAAATATTATAATATTCAAGTGTACTTACGTATTGTAATCGACATCGATATGCCAAAGCGTAAGCCTAGCGCTCGTCCGTCCGCACGGCGCGCGGCGTGGTGCACCAGAAACGAATGAATTGAAGGGCACCGCACACAACAGGCGAGAGCGGGAGGCACGGACATTTTTTGTTCGAATTCTTTAAATGGTGCACGGTGGGTAGCCCAGGAGCGGACTACATAGTAAAAAATCAAGATAATACACTCGGACTGGACGCGAGTATAATCTATAATCGTCTAGAGACCGAGTTACACTGAACGTCGATCTATATTCTATCTCTGTCTTTTGCACTTGGTAGGGAATAGGGAAATGTTTTTTTAGTGGGTGTAAATGGACTTGATTTAACCCGTCCTGAGAAACGTCATAGCATAAGCGTATACGAGGGGTCTAATTCCATGGCTATAATAAATTTATAAATTAAAAAAACACAACTGGGACGTTTTAAAATGCTGTAATAATAATTAAAATGGATCAAAGTGCCGGTTATAGCAAACCGTAAAAAATATTAGATGTTATGCATTATTATCGTTTTCAATATTTTCTATATCTTGTTGTCTTTTACGCAGACATGCCAATGGATTTTCGTTCCCGGCACGCTTCATCCCCCTTAATAGTCCAAAAGCTAGCGATGAGTCATTCTCTATAATTTCGACCGCGGAGTATAAACGTTATTTTACATACTTAATATATAGGCACTCTATTTGTAAAAATTTAACATTATTTATTTATTCGNGTTGATTTGTAAAAATTGTAGTTATATTAATGTTATTTCGTTTTTAGGTATTCTCCTTATGTTGTAAAGGTTAGTTATAAAAATCGTTGTTTGTTATTTTCATAAGGATAAATTTTAATTTTTTTTTAATGATTTTTTTTTATTTTAAACATATATTTTATGCCAGCAAATTTTGATGTCAAATGAAATAAAGGAAAAGTCGTACATTTGTATTTAAAGATTCTTTCTATCTTTAATTATTAAACTTGTAAGTGGATGTCAAAATACAAAAAAAAAACATGTACCTACATTCCGCGACGTACTAATAACCCACCTTGTATACTAAATAAATTTATCGTCATCATCAAATATTAAAAAAATCATATTACAAGCTGTTTAAAATATTATTACGAATTTTGTTTGTTTGGAAATATATTTTCTGCAGTATTTCAATACCAAAAAATGAAAATAGTAGGTAGCTAATTAACGAAATTATGATTAAATAACNAGCTACGCACATCGATAGAATCTATAATCGTCTAGAGACCGAGTTACACTGAACGTCGATCTATATTCTATCTCTGTCTTTTGCACTTGGTAGGGAATAGGGAAATGTTTTTTTAGTGGGTGTAAATGGACTTGATTTAACCCGTCCTGAGAAACGTCATAGGATAAGCGTATACGAGAGGTCTAATTCCATGGCTATAATAAATTTATAAATTAAAAAAACACAACTGGGACATTTTAAAATGCTGTAATAATAATTAAAATGGATCAAAGTGCCGGTTATAGCAAACCGTAAAAAATATTAGATGTTATGTTTTATTATGTTTTTTCAATATTTTCTATATCTTGTTGTCTTTTACGCAGACATGCCAATGGATTTTCGTTCCCGGCACGCTTCATCCCCCTTATTAGTCCAAAAGCTAGCGATGAGTCACTCTCTATAATTTCGACCGCGGAGTATAAACGTTATTTTACATACTTAATATATAGGCACTCTATTTGTAAAAATTTAACATTATTTATTTATTCGAACATTTATAATGTACCAACATATATTTTTCTGACGAATGTGTCAGAACTAAAAAAGGTGAACATGTTACATAATTGTACCGTAAATTTTATTTCGGTATTTTAAAAAATCACTTTGTATTTAACTATTCATAACTTTTTTAACATCTAGTCATTTATTTTCCTATGGGTTGTGTTTTTTTCTTTGATTTTAACATTTCTGCTGTCCAAGCAACTGCTGTTGCGTAAGTACAAATATTGAGAATATGTAATGTAATGACGTAGTTCTCAACAACCTCTCGTATCCAACCTGAAAATACATAATGTGATTATTAACAGTCTATATAGTTTTTGGTCACTTTAGCAGTGTCCCAAACTACTTGGTAATAATAATTTTCGAGTATGAAGTGACGATTATAACTAAAAATAACATAAAGTGGAAATATAGAATTTAGACCCTAAAGGGGGTTATAGTTTCTCAAAGATATGGCTCTGAAAGTTGCTTTTAGATATATCTAGGTACTTAAATATTTTGTTCATATTTACATTCTATGCTGTAACTTTTTACTTCATTGTCTGTGAAAATACTGAAAAAATAAAATTTGAATTTATTATTTTTTCACAAATTTTCTACAAGCAATTCATTTCTCAAACTTTTAGTCTAAAATATTCGCGTGATGACTGACGATATTGCTATGTCGTTTAATATTTAATTTTTAGTTATAGGCAATTATTTTCCCCTTACGAGTTTTCCCTGCACATATTGATTTATCATAATTCATAGTTTATTCACACTTTATAATTGCGAGTTTATTTAATTTAATACATATTTTAGTAAATAAATTATTTTCAAATGTCATGAGTTTCATAGGTTTCTATTTAGTCGTTGAAATTTAATATAACTTCAAATATTCTCTTTACAATAATTAATAAACGATACATTGTTGCTAAGATAGAAATATTAGAAATGTCGTATTCTAATATTTTTTCATTGAATTGTTTTTAATGTTATTTTTAAAACACACAGTATCGGCTCACTAAGAACCAGGATACCCATCAACACTTTTTTTTAATCTATCTATACTTATACATATACCTACCTAAATGTTTTTACTAAATACAAATGATCAAAAATATAACGAGTATTATGGCATTATGCAAAACATTTAATAGTGAAAAAAAATCGGAATATATTTAATAATGACATTAGTAGGAGCTGTTTTAAAAATATGGTATTTTTAGGAAATAGTCATCGCGATTTACTTCTATAGTAAAATTTAGTTTAATTATCTGTAAAAAATTAAAATTCAAAATTTTTATTTTAATTCGAAAAAAATACTATAAAAAAGATCCCACTTTAGAACCTCTCATATTGAGAAACGATTTTTTTTGAGAATTTTTCGAAAGAAAAAATAACGCCCCTCTCTTTCAAACAGCATCTTAGTTTAAAATTTCATAAAAAAAATTAGAAATGTATTAAGTATTTAATATTTTTTTATAAAACTACATCTCAAAATCAACAAAATGAAAAAAATAGTTTATGATATCTTTAGCTTTTGCAAAGTTACAGGTGTCTGACAATTTTTTACCCAAAATATTCAAATGCTCATAATTTCTTGAAGGGTTGAAATAAAAATTTGAGAAAATTTATGAAAGATTCCTACTTTAAATGGGTACTAAATAATACCAAGAAATCACGAGCTCGGTGATTTAGCATGGAATCCCCCCATACAGGGCCGTTCCTGGAGGGGGTGCAGCACGTGCACTCGCACGGGGCGGCAGGAATTAGGGGGCGGCATTTCGTTCGTAAAACAGTATATAAATTTCATATAAAAGACCCCTTACAATACTTATATCAGTTTTAAATGAATACAGTTAGACGTGGCAATCTCGCCCCACGTCGCAGTTTAATTAATCGGGAAAATTCTTTGCGCAACTGTCATTTTTTGACATTGTTCAAGAATTATATGTATTTTTTTCAGCATCAACTGTAAGGTGGGATGTTTTGAAACAAAATATACTTGTATTAACTCTGAAACCTTTAAGCGAAACTCGTTGGGAAAGTAGAATAAATGCAATTAGACCTTTAATTTTAAATTATAAGAACGTTTACAAAAGCCTTAATGAAATAATCGAAAACGAAAAAAAAGATTTAAAAACTAGAATTACAGCACAAGAATTAGTGGAGAAATTTATTTCANTGAGAAACGATTTTTTTTGAGAATTTTTCGAAAGAAAAAATAACGCCCCTCTCTTTCAAAAAGCATCTTAGTTTAAAATTTTATAAAAAAAATTAGAAATGTATTAAGTATTTAATATTTTTTTATAAAACTACATCTCAAAATCAACAAAATGAAAAAAATAGTTTATGATATCTTTAGCTTTTGCAAAGTTACAGGTGTCTGACAATTTTTTACCCAAAATATTCAAATGCTCATAATTTAATGAAAAAAATAGTTTATGATATCTTTAGCTTTTGCAAAGTTACAGGTGTCTGAAAATGTTTTACCCAAAATATTCAAATGCTCATAATTTCTTGAAGGGTTGAAATAAAAATTTGAGAATATTCATGAAAGATTCCTACTTTAAATGGGTACTAAATAATACCAAGAAATCACGAGCTCGGTGATTTGGCATGGAATCCCCCCATATCCCATACATAAATATTCATATTTCACTTTTTTCTTTACTTACCTACAAGTGGACCCAGTATAATGAAAAGCAATCCACTAGTTGCTAGCTGTAAACCTGATGCAGCTGGTAACCTTTCCAGTGGCACATAGGATGGTATTACTAAAGCCATAAAAATAGTTCTTAACGCTTTCCCTGCTCCGATAATAACTGCTACTAGTAAGCCCATGGAATATGTTTGGGTATGAACTAGAACTAAAAATAAAGAATAGTGAATATTAATCCTTTATAAGTGATATAAAGAACAATAATAATATAATTTCCGATTTCTGGATGCGTTAGAGGTGGTGCGATTTTAATTTTTCAGCCTAATTTTAAAAGTAGCAGTACAAAACGTATATTTTCCAATAAAATGATGCGAAATATGTGAAAAGTTCCTCCACACATGCTCAAACGGCCAAGCGCATGTACGCGGTCGAGTAGTGGGGGGGAGATGAGGGGCAGTGAATAAATAGGTATACAATTTTGAATATTGTTAGTGTAGTACATAAATACACCTAAATATGTATTCTTTGGAACAGAAAAGTATATTTTTCGTAAGAAAACTTTCAAAGTTTGATGTAAAGGTTTCGTACACTTTTCGCGGATGTTTCCAATTTTTCCGTCGCCGTGCCCATAAACCGCTCTACAAGGCTCCGATCGCGCCGAGGTCGCAGTCCCCGTCCCCGACGCCCTTATTAATACGTCTTCTGGTCGTATATTAGATCCGAATTCGAAAATTAAAATAATTTCAGAATATTACGAAATTCGGACTTGCAACACCCTGCTCATCAATAATTAGGACAATCCTGGGAAGTTCGTAATTCCAGAGAGGCCTTAGAAGGAAGTCCTGCGGGGCGACCATGGTTGTTATAATTTTACAGGAGCCGGCACGAGTTCCCCACAAAACCAGGGGAGATTGGACGAAATTCCGAAAATCGGTGGAACGTCCACCCGTGGCATCTGCACTCTATTAGGTGGGTTGGAATCCACTTAGAGTGTGCACTCGACATGAACTTTTGAACTCAATATCCATACCTAACCTAACCTAAACTAACCTAACCTAACCTAAACTAACCCAACCTAATTATACTATTACACACAATGTTAAATAAGATGATGGATTCTTATTATTATTGTTTTGCATGGTCCCTGATCTCCCTAAGATATGTTTAAGTTTAAGTAATTGTGTAAAAATTCAGTTGATCAAATAAATCAATTTTGGTGTTAATCGGTTTGGAATACAAAAAAGTGTAAAGAAACAGAAAGTGAAGATAATACAATAGCGCATATGATGAACTATTTTATTTGCAATATTGTACAGGGTGATATATATTTTTTCGGCAAATAATGACCGATGATAAGTTTCTAAAGCTGGTAATTTTTTGTTTCATACCTACTGTCATAATAAATATGCACACCGAATTTGGTTAAATTATCTCAAGCGGTTTAGAAATTAAAAATTATTATTTTTTTTTATTTTTGACACGCTGTAGCTGGACCAGAGCTGTCCTAAGACCCCACATTTATGTAACAAAAACCCTTATTTTTGGCCACAGAATACGCCCCTGGATTTTTGACCTCTACTTAATAAGAAACACCTTGTATAATAATTATTGTGTAGATTGTTAATTGCCTCATTTTTTGTTTGTTATAACGTTTTGTTTCATTCATATAACATTCCGCTACAATTTTCTGTGCAGGTTATTGTTAATTATAATAAAATTATTTATTTAAAAAACAAAGGCCAACTTTATCATCTGTTATAAACTCAGATATAGAAAGCTAAAAATATACGGACCACTGATTTTATGATTCTACAGATCTAATAAAAAAATGCATGGAATAATTTCTGAAAATTTTAGAACTATGTTTTAACATAAAGCATTATCTTTGAAAGAAATAAAAATACTGTTTCAATTTATATTGTAAGAAGTGGTTATTCTGTAAGTTATTTATCATTGTTTTTTTGTCAATTAAAGAAATATTGCGGATTAAAATTCACTTTTGGTAGAAAAAAATTAATTAATAGATTATATAAATAAAGCCAGAGTCTACTGGACCATTTTAAGAATTTCAGTTTCATCTAACGAATTACACAAAATCGTCTTTTATTTTTTCTCGATAACGGACGCAGATACGAAAACATCATAAGAGAGCTTCTCAACAAAACATAAAATTCAATTTTGATTTTAGAATCTACCAGCGGCGCACCGCACAAAAGTTCAGGGGAAGAAAAGGTGGCATGACCGCGGAAAAATATCACTCCGTAGAATATCACGACCATTTGGTATGCTCAATGATGTAACCTATATTCCAAATTTGAGCTAAATATCTCAAAATCTGTAGGAGCTATAGAGAAAATACTAAAAAAATCTTAAAATTTCAACACCCTTTAGATCGGTAACGAAGCGTTTGCGGACTGATGTTTATATGAATTTTTAGTCATGTAATAATTCAAAGAATTACTCTCTCCCTTATTAGGAACACCCTGTATATTGGCATCAATTACTGTTTTAAACAATTTTGACTTATCGCTGCCTTTAATATATGTTTGGTTGCTTAACATTCACGTAGACTTCGGACTCTGTTGAAAATTCTGTATTATAAATATTGAATTTGGTATATTCACTTACACGTGCTAATTTTCAAGGGGAAAACTAAAAAATGTGCCATATTATACAGTGCTTTCGAAAAGTAACGAATAAATTCATTATTTTTTTTAAATTGAGAAGTTTTCGAAAAAATCCCCCGGCACGTCGATTTTGTTTTTAAAAAAGGCACTTTTTGACATACGACCCATATTTGTGACGTCATCGTTGTTCGAGATATGACGTCATCGACAATTTTTTTAAATAGCAACCCCCAATTTTGACCATGCCATTTGAAAGAGCGTGTCATTCTACATACACAGATCATGAAAAATTATGGTGTTACATAACAAAAATTTCAAGAAAATAATGTTTGAAGATTTTAAAATTTAATTTTCACAATACTGAAAATGATAATGATTATGTAAAAATCGACTAAATGGTGCACCTCCCCATTATGCAACACCTGTCCGTGCTTATTTAGATGAGCTGTTCCCGAATCGTTGGATAGGGAGAAGGGGGCCGATTGAGTGGCCAGCCAGATCGCCTGATTTGACACCCCTAGATTATTTCTTGTGGGGATACTTAAAAAGCAAAGTATACGTTACTAGACCGGTTAATTTAGAAGATTTAAAAGCAAGAATTCGTCACGAGATACATCGTATACCTCCTGAAGTTATTGATAATGTCCAAAAAGAATTTATTAATCGTCTTGGCTACTGTCAGGCAGCCAACGGTGCACAATTTGAACATTTAATTTAGTCGATTTTTACATAATCATTATCATTTTCAGTATTGTGAAAATTAAATTTTAAACTCTTCAAACATTATTTTCTTGAAATTTTTGTTATATAACACCATAATGTTTCATGATGCGTATATAGAATGACACGCTCTTTCAAATGGCATGGTCAAAATTGGGGGTTGCTATTTAAAAAAATTGTCGATGACGTCATATCTCAAACAACGATGACGTCACAAATAAGGGTCGTATGTCAAAGTGCCTTTTTTAAAAACAAAATCGACGTGCCTGGAGATTTTTTCGAGAACTTCTCAATTTAAAAAATAATGAATTTATTCGTTACTTTTCGAAAGCACTGTATTATGGAAGACTTGGGAAATCAAAACTTGAAAAATGTATTCTAGAAAATAATACTTACTTATTCTTCCTAATGCCATGCTCATTACACCTAATAAGAAAAATGTTCTATTACTCCAACCAATTTTATCCGCAATGAATGGAATGAAAAATCTAATTACTATATCAGTTATTCCAAGTAAAGACATAAATGTAGCTGTTTCGTATTTTTCAAACCCAAATTCCTCGAGTATGATTGGGGTGAGAATAGAAAAATTTAGTTCTGCAAAATTAGCAACTGTGATTCCTAACATAAGATTCACGTAAGTGAAATCTTTGAATAACTCAAAATCAAAAAATATGGATATCTTTTTAAGCAAACTTAGATTTTCAAGTTGTTGTGCTTCATCATCTTGAGGTGGTTCGTTATCTTTCTCTTTGTATGCTTCTAATTTTTTTGCTGCACTCTTTAATACTTCCTTTTCATTAGGATAATTTTTAGATATCTGTGATTGAACTGCTTTTTTATCGTCTTTTGATGCGTCATTTCCTAAATCTTCGACTTCCTCTCTAATAACTGGTTTACTTTGAGACATTTTTCTTTCTCTTTTTCTATATTCTCTGCCGTGATCAGCTAAATTATTGTAAGAAGGTCTTTTAGAGACACCTATCGAATTTTGTCCTGAAGTTTGTTTTATACCCTTATTCGAATGTAAAGAAAGCCTCGAACCAATTTGAGATCTGCTTTGCGAATACCAACCATCATTTGCTTTTATCATCATAGGAGTTCCGGGATCTGTTATTTCATAACCCGCTTGAAATGGATCATCTTCATTTCTAAGATATTGACTTGAAAAAATACTATGACTGCTTTTTCTTGACAGTTTTCCAGATTCCAATGTTTTGTTCTGATGGGGTTGTGGAAATTTTTCTAATAAATGAGATGTTTCTGGTCCGTCAGTCTGAAATTGTAATTATATTATCAAATATCTGCTTATTCAGTTTATTTATATAACTTCCTAATTTTAATCGTGGTGTTTTTACATGAGCAAACAGTTGCGATAAAAAAATTATTAGGTTAGGTTAGGTTCAGTAGCTTTTATCGTTTATTTATACTTTAATCAAATTTATTATTTCAAACTATCAGCCCACGAGAAAATATATTAACTGCACTTAATGGGAGAAGTTTAATTCTCTTCTATTTGGGAAAAGCTTGCAACGCGTTGACTGTCACAAAACATAGTGAATGAACAATTTCTGCCTAACGGTAACGAGACCATACGAAATAAAAACTGCTAAATGGGAGAAAAAGTGTAAAACTATTTACTGTTGTAGAGACGCAACTTTAAATAGAATTAAGATTTAAAGATGCGTTAGAGCAGTAGTATTGCTTGCACACTGGTTGTATATACATTATCGTCGGCTTGCCGATGATCAGGACGTTGACCATCAGCGCCTTTATGAAAAATGAATTCACATTTTGACGTTTTAATAATACAATAGAAAAATAAGAAAATGTATTATTATCTCTAATATAATATGTTTAAAGACAAAGATTTTAAACAATATTGATGATCAATTATTTTAATTGTTACATAAAAAAAAATTTATAATTCATGTTTGTGATGGCGTTTATCTGAGGATGGAATAAAACCCGAAACGATCGTAATAAAAATTGTAAAAAGAAAAAAAATATATTTTTATAAACAAAATATTTTACTTGTGACCAGTTTCCCAGAAGATTTTATCTTACATCTTACATGTATGATACGATATAGGAAAGAATAAAAAATCGGAAAAGAGCCCCCCACACCAGCCGCTACTGATGTCGAGTTTTATACTACGAACATACTGCGAATATACCTTCCCTGTTACTGCAAAATAATCTATATTAACTTTACTTTTACCTTAAAATTTGTATGCCATTCGACTGGATGAAGTAGAAGAGAACACACAAACGAGTGTAAGGCAAACCCCGAAAAAAACAGTAAGGTTCCTTCCATACCATATAACTCATTTAATACAACAATAATATAAGGCCATACAATTGGTCCTAGAGCGGTTGTAGTCCATGAAAATCCAGTTGCTATTCTTCGTTTTTCTTTGAAATAAGTATTTAGTGCCAATGCATTAGAAGACTGAGTAATTCCAATGCCAGATCCTGAAAAATAAAGGAAATAATTATGTAGGATAATAACACAGGCCCACAAAATTTGATCGATGCTCTAACCCGGAAACCAGAATGTATCTACTTTTCGGAAGGATTTTGGTGCGTTAAATTCGAATCCGATGTCCAAATTTTTCAATAATTGGTTTTCGAGATATCCTAGCCTAAAAGTGCCAAAATCACATTTTTTTACATATTTGAGGTTATATTACATGGATAGGTATTTTTTTGCTAAAACCATTAATGGGGTCTTTAAGTACTATACTTGCTCTTTAAAACGCACTTGGATATCTCGTTATCATTTTTCGTCCTCGAGAAATCGCATGTTGAAATTTAGTAGTTTGACTTATTTCTCGATTTTTGAATACCTATATTGACAACACACCACCACAAACCTAAATTCATCGGCACCCGGAAATAGGGATCTTACATGTTTTTGGGGTTGCTGATCATGAATATAAACTCCAGAATACTCCATCACGTCAAATTTTGCAGTAAAGTTAAAAAAAATGTCTAAAAATTCGATATATGACCGATGTTTTACGCATTATATCAATCTGGAAACACATTTACACGTAAAAGAGGCTAACACGCTCCTAAGCCCAGAATCCCTAACCCATAAACTGCAAACCTATAAACTCTAAACATCGAAAAATAAGGCAAACTACTAAATATCAACATGCGATATCTTAAAGCTGAAAAAATGATATCGGGATAAATCTAAGCGCGTTTTAAAAAGTATAGTACCTACTTTAATACCCCATTATTGGTTTCAGCAAAAAATATACCTTTCCATGTAACATTACCTCAAATGTGTCAAAAAATCACTACTTTGGCACTTTTAGATTAGGATATCGCGAAAACCAGAACCAGTTGAGAAATTTGGACCTCGCATTCGAATTTAACGTACCAACATCCTTTGGAAAAATATATTCGTGTTGTTGGATTAAAATCTTATCGGCCTGTGCAATCATTTATAAAGACTACATAGACATGCAAGGTGTTTACGAACTTGGAGATTTATTGTTAATGTGAAATAGATTTTACTAAAAAACCGCCCTCGTAGCAAAATCTTGCATAAGACACTTATACAAGACTGCTGTGTGCCTATTGCTGAAATCAGCATCCGGTTTACTGCAAGATTCATTGTGCAATTGTCTTGATCAAAGCTTTCAATGGATTTGATTCAGGGCACTTGAGCACAAAGGGGTAAATTAAAGCAAGTGACTATGTTGCAGACTTACATTAGAATTAAGTAAGACATATTATACTTGACTTATACTAATTCACCCCTTTGGACTCAAGTACTTTTGGTTAAGTCTGGTGCAAGTATTGTATAAGTATCTTGCATAAGAAACGATACAAATTTCAGCAATAGACACAAAACAATCTGACACAATTTGGCTATTTCAAGTAAACTTGAAACAACTTGTATTAGAATTGCACACGATTGTGCTACCAGGGTGGTTGCTAAAAGTTTACCTTGTTGCCTAGAATGTACATGTTTTTGTTGGTGGTGAAAAGTAAGTATATATTAGTGCACCGGCAGCAATAGCAAAAAAATTATACATTTGCGAAGAAATGTTTTGATATAGAAATTGTACCTAAACAATGAAAATTAAAGAAAAACGTGGATTAATTAATTTTTGTTGTCATATCCAAACCAAAATTGAAAAAGTCGTATGCCGTCATGAACAGAATCGAAAAAGCTTTAAAATTAGATGTCACTCAATATAGGGTGAAATTTAAAATTTAAGGATATTTTACACCCCTGGCTAAGGGGAGCTTCGTTGACACCAAACCTTACTCCATCATGTGTCCCCCTTGAAAAGAAAATCGCCGCGTCTCAGGTTTTTTTTTAATTCCGATATTTTCTTGGTGGGAAGTTTTAATTGCAATACCCTGTATACCCATGAGAGTTTAGAACCGGTAGATCAGGAAGTTTCACCGTCTGCCCTATGTTAGTGTAGTTAAAATTTTATAATATAATTCGTTCAAGCAAAGTTCGGTAATTTTTAAACGCACAAGTCAAAACGAACTACAACATAATTATACTCAAAATTTTTGAATGCACGCACGACACCTTCGAATCCAATTTTCGAGCACTCGCTGGAAAACACCTCAAGAAAATGAAATAGTGGTACGCAAAAACGGTCCAATTCCAGATACCAAGTGAATTGCGTATTGCTGGACAGCTTGGTACCTTGTGTTATCATCCGCCGCGCCATTGTCACATTGCTCGATATGAATTTTTTGAATTTAAGTTTGTTTCAACGCTAATTATATTTTAGAATAAAAAAGCATAAAGAAGTTCAAAAAAGTGATAAACATTGTATTTTATGGTATTCTATGCAGGCAGAAATGTCAATATTCCATAATTAGTTCAACTTGTACATCAATTTGGATATTTTAATAATTTTTTTCTCGGAAATGGTTGAATTTAGGAACTATGTCATATACGGTTTTTTTGTTTATTTTAATGTATTCTACCTGTTTGTTAAAATTAAGGCAGTCAAACTTCTAACACCCTGCATATTTGGTATACCACAAGGATCCACTCTTACAAAGTACAGAATTAATATTTTGCAGGGTCGGCAGTTCACCACTTATTTCAAAGTTTTACTAAAGGGACTTCAAAATTACTTGGATGCTGGTATTGAACCGTGCTTTAAATTTGATTGCTTTCAAAGAAAATTCAAACAGTGAGAACATGTCGATGGTAATAGAATTTTTGTATAGAAAAGGTTATTCATAGCTTACATACTATTAAGGAGCATCTGTGACTACAGATTTATTCATTTACGATCCTGAAGTTATTATGTATTTATATTCCATCAGTATAAAAATGCCTGTAAAGATCTGGAAATTTTGGATACTGTTTGTTTTCTACAACTAGAAAGGATGGAAGAAAATGTCGGACATGGTGGAGTTGCTGTACAATCATCTATTTCATAAAATCAACTAAATCTAAGTGGCAGTGGAAGGTACGGTCAATGTTCACAAACTCGACATGAGATGGAGCCAGCAGTAGATCAGACCGTAATCCAATCTGTCAATTCATTAGATACAAATGTTTCCAATATAGGCACCAACATGTTAGAGGGAAGTACTAGGTTTTAGACAAACAATGTAACGTTTGCAACAGATAAATCATTTAATAAAAATGTGTAGGAATAAAAGTGTATATGATAGTTTAGAAAATAATAAATAAATAAATAAATAATTTTATCGATATATTTTTATTTTATTTTAATACATTTTTCATAATACAAGAATTGAATGAACGCAATTCCACTCCGCTTACTGAATCACAAACATATTGTCAATACAAAATAAAATATTAGTCAAACATTAGAAAAGGATTACAGTCAACAAATATAACACAATAAATTGAATTTATTAATGATAATAAAAAATATTCCTGGTTTTCACCCATGAATGTTTCGTCAATTTATTTTTGATAAATCTGTTATTAAAATCTGATTATCAAACCTTTTGTACAAATTTAAAACATCACTGTCCTTCTACAAATGATATTTATAAGACTATAAAGATATGATATCACACGTTTATATAAACTTGGAAAACAGATTTATAAAATTGTTGCATTATCTCGCTCTTTATTAAAGATCTTGGAAATAGTGATTTTGAGAGTGAAATTCCGTTACAAATTCGTTTATTGAGATTAAATTTAAATGCTACTGATGAAAAAATGTATAAATTAGAACTTTTAAACAATTTTAAATGATACTGAAAAGCAGATTTTATTTGACACATATAAAACAGCACACACACATTAAACAGTATTATTCATTGGTTAAGATATATTAAAAATTTAAATAAGAAATAATAGAAATAATTATAGTTTGAAGTCTGAGTTAACACTACGGTAGGTCACGGAAAATCCAGTGACAGTTTTAAATTTTCTAAGATCAATCTGACAATTTTTTTCCTTTTTTTAAGATTTCGCAATTGTATATGGATTGCTCACTGCAGAAACACTACTACTCGCAGTATTCCTAGTTTGAATTAATAAAGAACCAAATGTGGAATTTTTACTGAAATCTACCGATATCGTTTAGCTGACTATTTACATAATGTTACGCACAACTTTTATTTTTTTATTAATTTCTTAATAAATATTATTCCCTCCGCTTATCTACTGCGTCTGACATAAGCGCCACTTCGTACTAGACTCTTCAGTGCATCAGCGCTCTTTAAACTTTACTTTGGTCCATAAAATGGGATCCGAATTTGTATGCGCAGCCCATAAGAGTCTTCACTTCTTGTATAAACTCCATAGTTCCAATACTGGTGGCGCTATATTAGTATTGTATAGAAGCATTTGATATTTATTTTTTTATCACTGGACCTATACGGTATGTCCATGGTTAGAGTGGAAAAGAGGAAAAATATTTTTATTTTTCATTGTACGAGAATAAAGCATTATTAATTAAAATTGTAATCAAGAATGTCTTTTTCTCGTAAAATGTACAATAAACATTTTTTACTGTCCGTTTCTATCAAAGTAGGCCGATTCATACACAAATTGAAATTATAATATAAATTTCAATTCTAAGCAACTTTCTTTAATAACTTATTTTTGAATTGTTAAAAATAAAGGCGGTTCATTTTTGAACGATTTTATATTTACCGATTTTCTGACCACCCTATACATGCAAGATGAAAGTTCTCCATGCCAGCCGCATTTTAAAGACAAGCAAAAATTTTAATCAAGAATGCCTTTTTCTCGTAACATGAAAAATTAAAATATTTTCCCTCTTTTCCACTTTAACCGTCGCCGTCGTGGACATACTGTATTGAGAAATCGCTTAAATATGAACATACTGTTGGGTTAGCGTATTATTTCGACTGGGGTCGTTGTTTATAAAACAACGATAAGAAGTGAAAGCGCGAAAATTCGGACTGAAAGGCAGGGACACGAGAGAGAGAACGACCAAAGACGACTGGCGAGGTGTGTTGTGTTGAGATACCTAATTTGGTCATTGTTTTATTCTCAAATAAAGTTATATTTGTGAAAAACTGTACAATACATATTTATTTATACCCCAAAACTCGTTATCTAATTGGTCAGAGCGAGAGCAACGTTCATCTCATTGGCTAAGCGTCCTGCACACACAAAACAGTGACACCATATTTTATTTATTTGTTTATTTGCGATGCAATTTCGCGTTTTACATGCGATCTTATGGCGATAAGCTATTACAAAAACAAGCTAAAAATGAAAAGAAAGCTGAAAGTTTATTTAAAAAAGTGTACGTGGCAAGGTCCTACGTAAAACTCGAATTTATAGAGCGAGTGATAGCTAGTGTTATCGTCACCATCCCCGCCATCGAGAGATCGGTGAAAAAGGTTTCGCGAATGTCGTAGTCATTTCGATTTTTACCCATGTTTCTAAATTTTCCATCAATCCTTCAAAAAGATCCTCGACAAGGCACAGTTCTCGCTAAATAATAGGAATCCATAGACAAACGATCGCAGACGACCTACTACGCAGTTTGGAGGACGTAAGGCGGATAACCACTTTTTCACCGACGTTTCGAAAATGTCCGGATTTATTTCCCCCGCAGAAGCCACACTTGCCACCAAACCGCCTTAGACGATGCCGTCGCGCATTCGATACTGCGCTACACCTTCCGGCCGCACAGAAAGGCGACGATTTTCCCCACACTTTTCCCGCCAAGCCGTTAAGAAGCCATGTTTGCTGCCGAAAGTCCCCTGTAGCAGACAACGAGGACGACGCATGTTCATCATTGCACCGAAGTGGCACCAACAGCACACAGGGCGCCAAAATTTTCAACACATCTTAAAAAAAATGGCGAAAATTCCCAGGAACTTCAAACTCGTACCCTAAACCGACCTCGGGTCAGTTGTAACCAAAGTTATTTTCAACCCTCCAACCCCCTAGAGACGTTCACAATCAACAAAGGTGCAATTTTCCAAACGTCAAAATTTCCGAAACCAGGCCGGACCACAACCGTGTTGGAACTCCAGGCACCATGCCGTTTTATAATTAATGTTCGGAACCTGAACAGTACCTACATGTTGTACGATCAAAATTTTCTCTAATGCGTACATACGCGCACACAACAAAGCTCTTAAAGTTTGTGCCTCGGTCAGTTTTAGCATTCGCATTCGCCTTCTAGAAAACACATTTTTGCAAAGCCTGTGATCGAAAATTACTAGGTCCATCCACAAAAGTAGGTATGTTCCTGCGTGTAAAAAACTTGCGTTTCGTGTAGTGTAAAATATAATTTTTTGTTCAACCTTAATACTTCGTACCTTGAAATCGAAACGTTTCCGAACACGTGTTTAGAGAAACTATTTTATTTATCTGTGGCGTGGAATCTGACCTTAAAATTTAATTAGAAACAAATAACTATAGATACACCTGTATAAAAAATATTCAATAAATTTATCAACTTAACCACATTGACTTTTGTTTAAATTATTAAGCTATACCTAATATTTTCTATTTTGATACAAATTATAAATATTAGAGTTACTTATTTCAAACTACAGTTCATTATGTAAATGTAAATAATTTAATAAAAAGTGTAATAATTTATACAAATAAATAAATACCTACATAAAATAAAAATAAATTAATCCGAATTAATATAATGAAATTTACAAAGTACACTCACCATAACACATCGCATAAAAAATTAAGTAAGTGACAAATGATTCACAAAAGGCACATAGGAATAAAGAACCTGCCACCAGACATGATCCAAACATAGCCACTTGTCTATAAGTAAATTTTCTGAATAACGGCCCATTTATTAAGCCTAAAAATAAAAATATATAAATTTTAGAAGTACCTAAATAGAAATATTTTACTGCAGTCTGCAGTTATCATATACACATATATTAAAATTGTAGGCCTACTAGGCTACATACAACACCTACCCATGCCAGCGTTGAAAGCTGAATTTAAGTTTATAATAGATGTTGTCTGAGTTTCGCTTATTCCGATTTCTTCAAATTTCCCTCTAAAAACTAAACCAAATTGTTGGAACATCGGAAATGTACTTAACTGGAAAAAAGTTTAAAAAATTATTATACATATGCCGCAGGTAATCTCTTACAAAATTATTGCCATTTGAGTTTTTTCATAGAAACGGTTCACCATTAAAAATCCAAATATCATGAAATAAAAATTTTGAACGAAAAATAAACGAATAGTAGTAGTGCCTTTTAATTATAAACTTTTATTTACCATCCTTTTATTTATAAGCTTAAAAGTACAGAAAACTGACAGTAAAAAATTTGTTTCTGATAACCAACTAACAATACTTACTGTATATTTCGATATTTTTTTACAAACCTGTCACACTTACATATGTACGTGTAAGATAGTATTTTTACACCCTATATTAAGATCCTCTAGTTAAAAAGAAACACATGCCCCGGCATGGTGTCTGGTATTGGTAAACAGCACGAGTGTCTAGTTAACGCCCAATGGCTTTGTTTAGATTATAAATTTTCAGACAGGATCTTTTACCTAAACTTCGAAAAAAGATCATTTTTACATATGACTGTGCTATGAAAACGTTGTGATTGTGCCACAATGGATTAGATATTAGGTGAGTTTTTTTCTTCTCCTATCTATTAGAAACTATGGCCTATTCATATAACTTGTGAGTTTTCTCATTGTACATACCTATTTATTACAAATAATAGCTTATACATATAACTTGTGAGTTTTTTTCACTTGGCGTACTTATTTAGTTGGAATAGAGTTTTCTTACAAAATGAGATGTCGTGCGTCTCAATTCGTCCAATAGAACCAGAGATATGGTAAAACTGGTGCGCGCGGAGACGGAAAATGTAAGATATTTGCACTAAATTTGTAGTAACTTTGGTTAAAGTTAATCTTTTTTTATTTTCAAAAAAGTATATGTTTGTTATGAGAAAACATAACTATTAACGCTTAAAAAATTGTACTAGCTATAAAAATAAACTTTTTACAGCAATTCAAACATTTAATTTCTTAATGACATTTAAACTGACCACATTCAGGCTTTGCGACCAAGTTTCTTGGATTCAGGAGGTCAAAATACTTAGGAACAAGTTGTTTGCAGCCGTGGCACTCTGATTGGCCACGGAACCCTATCTGGCTCCTAGACTATAACTGGACATATAGAATACAAAATTTAAATACATCTAGTTAATTTACTAGCTCCGAAACCGCCCTCAGTGATGACAACCCTGGCAAAAGTAGTTGCCGATGCCCAAGAGCATCTGGCTCGTAAACCCTAAAATTTCTATTGGAATATTTAGTCCAGTCATTGTAGACATGAAACAACCTGTTTCGGGAAAAAAATACTATTAGAAGTTTCTCGGCGGAATATTGTTCTGAAACGTGTTATAAACAAAATATCAAAAAATCAACTCGAGGCTAGTTAGGAAACTTTCTTTAAACAATGGTCAAAGTTATGGAAAAGTGGCTTTTTGACTCGTGTAAAAAAACTATTATTAATAGCGAAAAAAAGGTTATACAACAAAAAAGGTAGGTATTAAGCCTATAAAATGAGGTAAGTCCGATTAAATTCCGATAATTTATTCATGCGCAAGAGCTCAAAAATGGTAAAATGGCCGTTTTTTTCAATTGCTAATAATTAATGCAATATTCATGGCAGACACTTGTAATTCAGGATTTTTGAGGCTTTTTACACCCTTAATAAATGGTAAAAATTTCAACCCGAAAGCTTCATTGGTTTGGCGTTGGCGGAATTTGTTATCTAAGAAGATGCTATTTTCAATTGATTTTTCCCAAACTCAAAGGCGTTGTATAGTTTCGATCATTAGTTGTATGCATTAACTGAGAATTTAATTTTTCAAATTTAATTTGTTTAAAAATGACTGAAAAAATGTTAATATTTATTGAATTGTTAAGATAGGTAATTAATAATTACTATAAAATGAAATAGTAGCCTCTATAGTTTAGTTGGTACTATTTTTCTTCGAATTTAAAAAAAATCGTTGTTTTAAGTTGATTAGAAGCTGAGATAAATTTTTATTTATTTAATCGCAGAGACCTTAATTATTAATATTAAGAGCCGAAATTTGGCAAGAGTATACATTAAGAGCTATATTTTCATGTCCTACATTAACATTAAGGTGATTTCAACTATTTAATTGCAAAAAAGAAGATACCGGCGATGCGTTCTATTACTCGGTCTAGCGAACGCGTGGGGAGCGAGGCGGAGCATGCGCGCTACGCACCTGGTTGCGCGCAGGAAAATGATCGAGCGGCTTCAAATCGATGGAGCTGGAAAAATTAGACATATATATCGGTTAATAATGAACCTATCGAGATGATTCTTTTTTTTAGTTTGTGGTAGCGCGAAAATTCATGAGCATTGAAGCTATTGTATTAACATTATTTCAATCCGAGATTTAATTTTTTATTTAGCCTCGCTCTTCCCACTCCTTCGCTAGACCGAGTAATAGAACGCATCGCCGCTATCTTATTTTTTGCAATTAAATAGTTGAATTCACCTTAATGTTAATGTAGGACATGAAAATATAGCTCTTAATGTAGGTACTCTCTCCAAATTTCGGCTCTTAATCATTAAGGACACTGCGATTAAATAAAAAAAAAATGTCTCAGCTTCTAATCAACTTAGAACAACATTTTTTTTTAAATTCGAAGAAAAATAGTACTAACTAAACTATAGACGTTACTATTTCATTCTATAATAATTACCTATCTTAACAATCCAATAAATATTAACATTTTTACCACTTATTAAGGGTGCAAAGACCTTAAAAAATCCTGAATTAGAAATGTCTGCGATGAAAATTGCATTAATTATTAGCAATTGAACAAAACGGCCATTTTCGACCATTTTTGAGCTCTTGCGCATAAACAAATTATCGGAATTTAATCGGACTTGTCTTATTTTACAGATTTATCTAATACCTACCTTTTTTGTATAAACCTTTTTTCTTTATGAATAACAGTTTTTTTACGCAAATCAAAAAACCACTTTTCCATAACTTTGACCATTGTTTTAACAAAGTTTCCCAACTAGTCTCGAGTTGATTTTTTGATATTTTGTTTATAACACGTTTCTGAACAATATTCCGCAAAAAACTTCTAATAGTATTTTTTCCCCGAAAAAAAAGCTATAATGACTGGCCTAATTTCACAAAGCTCAAAATCGCCTCCAATCACCAAAGTCGCATCGGACGATACCAAGGGAGGTCACTGCTAGTGACAGAATGACCGCCGACGACGCGCGGTACCTACGCCTTAGTTCCAAATTTTGGGAAATAAAAATTTGAACTGAAGAAGGGCAACATAAAGATTAAAACAATAAACAACATCCCAGATACCAGTACGAGTCAAGCAGATTTCAAAAATCGCTAAACCCGAAGAGACAAAATGTCCAAATTTAGCAAAGATCGCTGCAGGACCCCGCGGAGCAATTAAGGGGGTGTTTGAATGTCTACTCTGGTACAACTCATTAGCCAGGGGCGGTACATTTTGTATGCTGAAAATTTATTTCTTATTGCATTATGTACACGTAACTGTATAAATTAAAATCTTATATTTTTATTCAAATATCACAAGTAAAGATTTTCTCAAATTTAAAATATTGTTAAAAAATTTTTACGAGCGCATTGCTCAAGGTTTAGATACTAAATCTAACCTGCAATCCGCCCAAGAGTTTCTGAGCCTTAGGGATACCAAATTCAAAGTATCAATCATCTCAGGACTTTCTTTATCTGCGGCGAGGATCATAAGGGATAAAAGAAGAAGCTTCTAAACCCTAGGTACTCTAAGGAGACCTACAAAAGTGCTTAGACAATGCAAATCCTACAGACCAGTAAGTAGGTAAGGAAAAGTTGACAAAGATAGCGATATAGATACCAGACTACTCATGCTCAAAAATATTTTAGTTCAGCTCAACTGGAACTTCCAGTGAAACCAGTGCCATTCCGAGGACGTATCCAGGTTATAGGCGAATAAATTAGAGCATGGACCTCGCCGCCGACCAAAAACCGACTAGCGCGAAGAGCTCTTCTCCTGTAACCATTGAAGATGATATCATGAGAGCAAACGAGCAGTGGACGAGAGCCCTAGCACTGCCTGCGGAATATGAGGATTTCGGTAGAAACGCCAGTCCTCAAAATATAGGTATGGAAAAAGTAAAACCGCGACATTTAACTATGAATTAACATTTCAATTTTCAATGCATCAAACACCAAAGACCCCATCTATACAGGGTCGCTGATATGTACGGAAACGGTCGATTATCTCCTAAAGTAAGACAGCTATCGAAAAATCATAAGACACAAACGTTTTAGGGATTTTTAAGATCTACTACAATAGAGAAAATTAGGTATACATGAGCAGCCTAAAAGTCATGACGAAACAAAGTTGCTTTTTCTTTAATTAGAATGTCGAGAAGAATTGAAATATGGAATAATATAAACTTTGTTACAGCCTCTATTCGAAGGGGAAAAAAGCATATATTGAAAATGAATTAAATTCGAATTATAAAAATTCAAAGCTTCTGTGGCAATCACTACGCAAATTGAATGTTCATAAAAAATCTAAATTGTTAAATATACCTGATGATCTGAAACATCCTGATTCTATAAACAATTTTTTTTATAAAGTCAGTGCACCGATTGGCAGCAGACCCAAATACAGTTACCTTCTTTAATAATAATAAATGTGAAAAAGTTACTGATAACTTTAAGTTTAAAACTGTGGACAAGAATATTATTTTATCAGTTCTAAATAATATTACAACCAATGCTTCTGGTGTGGATGGCATAACAGTAGAAATGCTGAAGCTATGTTTTCCTTTCTGTGGTGATGCACTTACACACATTATAAATTTTTCTCTAAAAAATAGCCTTGTGCCCATACGTTGGAAGCATGCGATTGTGACACCTATTCCTAAAAAAGATAATATTGCCTCATATAATGAACTAAGACCGATAAGTGTACTCCCTATATTTTCTAAAATACTTGAACGAATTGCATACAATCAATTAAAGGCTCACATTGATAGATTTAATATACTTCCTTGTAAACAATCAGGTTTCAGAAGAGGTTTTAGCACTGCTACTGCTCTTACTGATATTGTTGATGATATGTTACAGGCAATGGACAAATCCTTAGTAACAACACTTATCATGCTAGACTATTCTAAAGCTTTTGACTGTTTAAATCATGACTTGCTATTGGCTAAATTAAATTATTATGGGTTATCAACAGGTACCTTGGAGTGGTTTCGCATGTATCTATCAAATCGTCAGCAGCAAACTAAAGTAGTCGTAGGTTCGGATTCTATTTTTTCTAATTGTCTTGATATTTTGAGTGGCGTACCGCAGGGGTCTATTTTGGGTCCTTTACTTTTTGTCATTTACACAGCCGATATTCCTGGGGTAATAAGGAGTAATATACATTCATACGCAGATGATTGTCAAGTGTATTTATCTTTCTGTCCTGAAAATGTTGAATTATCCATAAATCAGATTAACGAAGATTTGAAAAACATATATGCTTGGTCTATCAGAAACGCGCTAAATTTAAATCCAGATAAAACAAATGTTTTACTCGTTGGAACCGATGGTCAGACAAATAAAGTAGATTTACACAACCAGTTATTTTTAAACAATATATCTCTGCCAATAAAAAATTCTTGTAAAAGTCTTGGGGTCACAATAGATAAAAACTTGTCTTTTAAATATCATGTTAATAATTTAATTAAGGCTGCTTATACCAGGTTGAAATCTTTGTACAAATTCAAATACATTTTAAGTACAAAAGTTAAATTGAAAATAACGGAATCTCTAATACTGTCTATGTTTGATTACTGTGACGTTGTATATGGTCCCTGTTTATCAGCGCACGATGCACATCGCATTCAAGTATTGCAAAATACTTGCATGAGATTTTCTACTAATCTAAATAGAAGAGACCATGTTACTCCCAGTTATTTTGAAAATGGTTGGTTGAAGATGAACATTAGGAGAGATATCCATTTTGCATGTTTTGTACAAAATATTATGATTAGAAATATCCCAGTGTATTTGAAAAATAAGTTAATTTTTGCGGCAGATGTTTATGACAGATCCAGAAGAAATCCTTTTCTTCTGCATGTACCGAGGCACTCCACCTCCATATTCAAAAAATCGTTTACTTATTATGCATCATCTTTATTTAATTCATTACCTTTTGAATTTAAAATGTTATCAAATATTACAAAATTTAAATCACATGTTAAAATATTTTTTAATAGCCCAGTGTGAGATCTATGTGTGATTTTTATGTTGTCGGCAATATTACAATATTATCTACTACCAAAATACAAAAATGTTATATAATAGTTTTAAATTAACAAAACATAAATTCTAAAATCAGTGTACTACTACTACGATGGCAATTGTTTGTAGATTTAATTTTAGGTTATGTTATATCCGATGTACTACTATGTTTTATTATGTATATTTTCAGGTTGGGCATAAGCAGCTTTAGCTGAGCCCCGCCTTAATAAAGACATATTATTATTATTATATTATTATTATATACAGGGTATTCCATTAAAGAAAAAGCAACTTTGTTCCGTCGTGACTTTTTGACTGATCCTGTACAATTAATTTTTCTTTATTGTAATAGATTTTAAAAAAACTCTAAATCGTTTGTATCTTACGATTTTTCGATAGCTATTCTAGTTTAGGAGATAATCGACCCTTTCCATACATATCAGCGACTCTGTATATGACATCGGCTGTTGATACCAACTACATCATAGCAATTCAAATTGGATAGTCTGAACATAATGTTTAGTTCACTATCACTGTTCACTTGTACTACTATGGCTAAAATACAAAATAATTGTTTTTTACAAAAAGAAAATAGGAAATGATGAAAATCAATAGGTACTAAGTTTCATTATTCAGTTTTTTGTTAGATAAATAGCAAATAGAAAATAGTAGGTACTTACGTTACTGAAACCACAAGCGAAAACAATAAGCCATCCCCAACCGCCATCGGGAGGCACAAAATTGGGGTCTCCTACTTTTAGTCTTCTCGGTTTTGATTTTTTATTTTCAGCAATAACTATCTTTTCGCTGGATTTTAGAGCCATTCTTGTTTCTGTAAACAAAATGTGCATCTAGTCAGTTTTAACATGACTTAATATAACAAAATTAACTTTGTACATATTTAGAATAATGTAACCACACTCTTTAACTTTGGTTTTTGTCAGATTCTAGTAACGTTTATTACAACGGATTTTGCAAATTTTGGTGATTTTTATTTGCAATAATCACTCGTATTTGTTTAATTTGCTTTGTTAAATTTAAAATCGAATTTGTTTCTCACTTCTGTTTGCTAGAACTTCAGTTTTGTAAATGAGCATCATTCTATCAGAACTTTTATTTTTCGCGTGGTCAGCTAATGCTTTTGCAATTTTTTCCTAGTTTTTAATTGTAATTTTTTATTGTAGATGTGCCTATTGAGCTCAAGTTTATTTAGTCACATTCAGGGTGATGTTTTGTTTACATTGGCTACTGTCCAGCTAGCACTAAAAGTGATGGGAGACTGAACATACCCTACAGGACTATGTTGGTGAGGCGACTCTTGTCGGCCAAGAGACTTAGTGTAACCAGATCACTAGTTCCATTTTTGTCATTTTTTCATGTCATTTTTGTAAATTTGATTGTCATATATAAGTAATTTTAGTCTTCCGATTTACTAACTTTTTATATTAAGTATTTTGTCTAACTTATTTGTAATTTAACTTGCACAAAAATTGCAACTTTTCAATCTAATTTTTAATAGATGTATGAAATATTAACTATTTTTTATTATACCTTCTAAATTTGTCAAGAGGACTTAATTATCTATTATTACAAAATAACCTGGTACTTAATTAGTGACGGTATGTTTTTATCATTGTATTTTATGTATGTATAGGCTAGGCATTAATGTTTATTGTCTAAAGCTTTAGTAGAACGCCTATAAGCTTGAGGAGCTTTGTTTACTGCGCCTCCTGGAAGGGCTACTGTATGACAGCTCTAAGGCCGCATTTCACTTTCGCCTGCAATCGCGTTTGAAAATAACAGCCCTGTATACCAGCCCAGTATGAGAGTAGTCATTGTTGCACTACGTTTTGGACCCGACAGCCTCAGTGAAGTTCGGTCTTTAGAGTAGAAGTATATGGCAGCTTGGTATTTTTGTGGCTTCACGATCCCGATAGGAAACGTGAATGATTTTTTTTAATCCGCTCGGAACCTGTATTATAACAGTACCGTATATATCGGTACCTTGAAGTACATCATTCTTCATCTCGTCTTTAGAAAAAAGGAATTCTATCTTTCTTGACATATTTTAGATGATTGTGCTTCCTTAAACGGCAGTTATCTGTACATATACATTTGATTTAATATAATAATAGTAGTTTAATATAATTTCATGTCACTATGAATACAAAACACATATGCGTACATATACAGGGTGTCCCAGAATAACGTGTACAACGGAAGACCACAGATTTGTGGGTTTAAAATAGGCAGATCTAGGCTAATTCACTCATATATGAAATCGCTTAGTTTAGCCGCTAGATGGCCTCAAAGTTGGTGAAAATTTTTTGAATTTTGTAAATAACTCGAATACCTGTTAATCAATTTTGATTATTTTTGAAATGTGGACTTTTGCTTTCAATCTACACATTTTGGTGTTATACAGAGCGTTTCTTAAAACCTAGAACACCTACAAAATTGATGTATGGTGATAATATCCGTTCATAACTTTTCCTCTTTTGGGCAATAATGGCAACCATTTTTTATCTATTTGGATTTTTTTGCGCCTCTTATAGAATTTTGATTAAATGAACGGTTTGGGTACAAAAAAATATTTTTTAAATGCATACATTATCGTGCCGCGAATATTACAATACTTAACAAGTGCTAGTAGCTACTAATTTTGTAGGTTGACAGTAATTTCAATCTGATCTTTAAGTCATTGTGCCTGACAATTCTTAATGAGTGTTTACGACCATAAGATATACCACCTGTTACTTCATTTTTCGATATGGATATAAACATGGAGTCAATACAATCACAATCAATCATTTGTAAATTACCTTAACTAAAAACGTTGTGATTTAAATGCTAATACAGTTGGGTCAGTTAGTGAAATTTTATGTATATTCTTCCCCCTGTCGTCCCTGATCCTGATTTGTGACCTTGTTACGTAAGTGGCCTTAAAAATATATCTTGAAAACAGTTTAGTACTGCTGCAAAACCAAACCTAATATTTACACTATTAAAAAAAAAACATATTATTTCCGATAACCGATAACAATATCACATTATGTGATATCAAAAAATAAAATAAAATAGAGAATATAAATTCAACAACTTTTAATCTTATCTCGTAATCATTATACAAATGTGATATTTTAAATGGATACACCCTGCTCGCTTAGAACATTCAGTCATTTTTTTTTAGTATGCGGTAGGTACTCTGAGAAACCATTTTTATAGAAAGAAAGAATATCTTAATTTCATGGCATCTCTGACGGAAAAGACCAAGTGAAAATAAATTTAGTTTCTTTATTAGAGATTTTATTTGAAAAAAATATTATTAATTCTAATTTGTCATATTATCTCGAATAGATCTATATCAATGTTCATTACAGTAGCGTTCACTATAAACAGATACGTTAAAATTAATTCAATTCATCGAACTCTCAAAACAATGACATCAGAAAATTTATTATTAAATAAAACACATAACGGAATATTATAGATTTGTACAGTGCCTTCATTAATGTTCGAGTCCCACGTGACCAGATTTGTTTTGGCGCTCAATAAATTTGACTTTCTTAAGTTGGCATTTTAGAAATTATTAAAGAAAACTTACCAACTAGGACCTTAGATGAAATGTCAATCCAGAGGCGTTCGTAACCTTTTATGTTTAATGCCTGTTCTTGTTTGTATAATTTAGCAGTATTTACCAGCATTTCTGTGCTTTTCTACAAATTAATCTTTGTCTGTTGAGTAGAAAAAAAAATGTTATTTTCATTTTTAATGTAAGTTAAATGAATATTTATATTTTAAGGTTATCTATATTTTGTTACTTTCTTATTTCTTGTAAATTTGTGTAGAAATGTCTTTTACACCGGAACAAGACGCATTTATTTTGACAGCACATTTTCGCAGTGGTACACGGAACGCAGATGGAACCAGGTCGTACTCTTTGCAATCCTACATGGAACAATTTGTTAAAACCTTCCTGCTGCTAATATCGTATATGGTGTGTTTAAAAACCACAAATTAACCCTTGTTAAAAGATATGAAGAAAAACACTGCATTTGCAAGGGCAAGTGATAGACAGATTTACTGTTTTAACAAAAAATGTTGTTGAAGATATTCGACAACAAATGGTGTGAAGTCCTAAGAAACCTGTTTCGCAGTTATCTACTCAAATCGGTACTGTGATATATCTAATATAGTTTAAATTTTGTAAATTTTTTAACATAAAGCTGTTAAAGTTAAAAAATAATTAATAAAATAATTTTGAAAAATTTTGATTAAAATTTAAATAATTATTGTACATTTTATATTGATAATATAGCATAGCATAGCATTTATCTTGGTTATGTAAATAGTCACAATTATAGAACTTGGGCCCCAGAAAATCCGCACAATTTTATTGAAAAAACGTTACATCCTCAAAAGTTCGGTATGGGTAGCAGTTTCAAGAAGAGATATAATACGTCCAAGTAATAAATTGAGAACAATACCGTCACATTTTACCCGGGCATGGCGATCTCGAGGAGTTGTTTACTTATTCCTCTGAGATGGCGATAAACTGCAGCATGGGTATTTTCAACAAGATGGAGCTACAGCACATACTGCAGCAGAAACTATCTTCAGGAATTTTATGGTTATGGTGAAGATTGGTTACATCCTCTTCAAGCATTTGAAGAACTGGAAGCAGTAATTGAACGTGAAATAAACATTATAACTCCGATTAATCGTGAACACGTTTTTGAGTGCATAAAACATAAAGTAAATATATGTTTGGAAAACGAAGATGGTCATTTTGAATATCTACTTATTATAAAGACAAAGGAGGAGGGCCCCTAAGGCCGGTTTTCGGCCCCTTTTGTCTTTTTAAAAAAAAAAATTTACTCACGTTAATAAAGCACCCCAGTGAGAGGCAAGGGGACTCACGTTAATAAAGCACCCCAAAAGAAACAAATACCTACCACGTCCATGTCGTTGTTTCTGGGTAACGCTAAGAGTAGTTTCAATAAAATCAGCGGGGTGGAGGGGGGGCAGAGTATGAGCGAATTAATATGTAAAAGGGCTCAAGGGTAGTAGTCTGACAAATAGTTAGTCACAAGGCGTTTATGCTACCCTATTATTTTATCATAGGGACTGTGGTGTGAATAAGATGGAGTAAGGGGTATTTGAGGTTCCGTTTAGGGTCAAATCGACTGTTTATCCTATACTTACTGGCCGAAAAAAAAATTTTTTTTTTTAATAAACAAAAGGGGCCGAAAACCGGCCTTAGAGGTCTTCCTCCTTTTAGAAAGAGAGAAAAAAAATCTGAAATTCGACTATTATTTTCCTTTAGCAAGAACTTCCTGGGGCTGTCGAAAAAGTATCAATTAATACTGCTCGTTACAGCCATTTGGTGAGAGATCATTTAAATCAAGCATTTCCAAACCGTTAGATTGGTCGAGGTAGTCGCTGTCCGGATTTTAATCCATTAGACTTTTACTTTTGGGGCCATTTGAAAGGAACACCTAATACGGGAGCAAACTTTGGCGTAGAATAAAACACGCCGTACATGTTAGACGTTTCGTTTTCTATTCTCAATAGTTTCATAAAACGTTTAAGAAAATGTGTCAAAGAGAATGGGGAATACGTACACTTAGAATACCTATTTATCATTAGCAGACTTTTTATTTTATTATGGATACGCGTAGTTATTTCCAAAAAATATGGGGTACCTATGTGTTAGTAAATATTTTCTGTAATATCTTCATAACCGAGCAAAATTTCGACTTTTGATAGGTATACATTTTTTGTGTAGAATAAAATTCTCTACCTGTTTCTGATGAGCGTATAAGTTTAAACGTACAAAAAAGTTACAGAAGAATATTCACAAAGGGTTGTAGTAAAATAAACGCCCTGTACGATTTAACCTAATAGGAACATAATGACTGCATACTTCATGAAGAGAAACTAAGCAACAACAAATTTTGCTCGAATCGGTGAACTAGGTTCTGAGTTCTGAGGGTCTGAGGAGAAAACACGAAATAAAAAAAGAAAGTTCAACACCTGTAACTTTCTTCGTTTAAGTAAGTTTGGTTAAATCGACATCATTTGTGTTCTAGATTTTACTCTTGAAGTATGTAACATTCGTTAGGTGACACCCTGTATAATAATTATGACTGTCCTTATTGCATAATCTGTTTGTAGTAAAAAAAATTATTACGGTGTATTAGCTAGCTTACTGGAATTTTTTAATTTGGTATTCCATGATTTTTATTTTATTATTGTGGTTATAAAACATATTTTAAAATCGTATAACTTTACATTCCACGTTAATGCATTATTCATTACATCTTTTTCGCAACTACGCCCTTTAACTTTGGGATTTATATAAATATAAAGCAAAAATTATGTAAATACGTAAAAAATTATGTTGACTAACATTTTATTTTAAGGTTAATGATGAAACAATATAAAAATTTTGGAAACAGTTTCTTCATTGTAATCTTTGCATGAAAATCCATATGGTATTTAAAAAGTGAGTGTTCCATTAATTAAAAATATACATATTAAAAAATAATTTGCAAGAAGTGTTATTTGGGAATTGTTTTCTTGGATAATTTTTTTGTGACATTCACTACCTACCTACACTTTAATTATCTGGATATTCTGTCATTGATATAAAATTAACATAATTTGAAAAATAACTATTACTGAATCGAAAATATCACATTACAATTATGTGAAACATATATTCGGCTAGAAGTTTACTAATGCAAATTTCGAAAGAAAACTTTGTTCTTGTACCAAATGCACCAATAAATTAATGTTCATTGTATAATAGCCTTATGAATAAGCATTCTAAGGTTAGTAAAAAATTGACTCCTATAGCAACATAAGCTCTTGTCTTTGATGTTCATGCAATGTTGAAAATTTGTGATGGAAGGGATGCTCTTTTATTGCGTGTGGATTTTCTTCGCTCCACACGTGAGAGTTTTTCCAATTAAAAACACCTCCACGGGTAAAAACAGCTTCATCTGTAAAAGCAATTCTCCCGAGAAAAGTGTGATCTCTGTTATGTACATAGAGAAATCGTTCGCAAAATGTTATTCTCATTCTCAGCGGACGGTCTGGTTTAAGCAAATTTTGTACAAGGTGAAAATGGAAATATTGTAACTGCTGCGTGTAAGTTGAAACGGTTTTCAGGTCAACTTTTGTAACTGCTGACTAACGACGAATACTAATTTCATGATTTTCTTCTACTCTTTCTAGAATTTGTTCTTCGTCTTTGAACGTGATTTCGTGAATTAGACCGAAAGTTTCCAGTTTCTCTTAATCTGGCGAATAAAGAAGCAAATAATGTATGCGAGAAGGCTGTCTGCGATTCAGATAAAGTTCTTCATATATGCCCTTAAGAGCGCGTCCACTTAAATGTTTCTGTACAATACCACTATCATGTCTCTCATTTCATAATTCGTAAATTCATTGTGACAATATTTCATTGTGACAATATTATATCTTTACAACCGAGCATAATTTCGACTTTTGATAAGTATACTTTTTTTGTGTAGAATAAAATTCTCTACATATTTCTGAAATGTGTGTAAAAATTTAAACGTATAAAAAAGTTAGAGGAGAATATTCACAAAAGGTTGTAGTAAAATGAACATAGGAACATAATCACTGAATACATCATGAAGAGAAACTAAAGTAACGTCAAATTTTGCTCAAATCGGTGGATTCTGAGCTAAGGAGAAAACAATAAATAAAAAAATAAACTTTAACACTCTGTAACTTTTTTGCGATATTTTTCGATTAAGCAAGTTTGGTTAAATCGCCACTATTTTGGGTTCTGCATTATATCCTTGAAGTATGTAACATTCGTTATAATTGTATAACTATAATTATTAGGTATCATAAGTGTTTAAAATTCACAAAACCTCTACTAGGAGCATGCGTAGGTATAGCAAATACACGATGTTGTAACAACATAAATTTTAGAAAATTAACTAAAATGTGTAGGTATGTTGAACACAACGTATTTTTAATTTGTATATTGGTATTGTCTATTCAAAACATATTATTAGTATTCGAAATGATATTATTTACATTATATGATACTGTAAATAAATCGGTCTCAGTGAATGCTGAGTGAATCCAATGAGTGAAGTTATTGAGTACATTTTCGGTCAATATTGGGCATTTTGGTAATTTTACACATTTCTTATAATATTTGAACTAAAACTGAGTTTCACTCAAAAAATTTTAGTTGTACTCGTACTAATAGAGGAAGTGAAAATAAGTCCAACTTTTCTTACAGTGTATATATGATAAATATGCTCTTTACTGGAAATTGATTTTCTATTAATAACAGTGTTTTGCTGTGGTGTTTTACCATGAGCAATATTTGATAATCTAGGAACTACGACTAAAGTATCTAAAGTTCATTATTACATATCATTTACATTACGTAAAATGGGAGATTTATCAAGGAACTATTATATTGCTAATTATTTGTTATGTATTTGCATTATTTGGGAATATGTATAATTATTTGCAATCGCGAATTGTACGTATCATGCGCCGTATCATACGCTACTATTAAACTTATTTGTCATTATGGACTTACTTTGTCAAAAAGAAAATGTTGTCCTGCAGCTTATTCAAATTAATTTGTTCAACACATATATATGACACACTCGTAAGAACACTAACTGAACGCATGTTTTAAACTCGGCATCGAGATTATCAAGAGCTTAAATACTTCTCCGTTTGAATCATAAAGCAGTACTCACATAATCTTAGTAGGTAATGTTTTTATTTTTATTGACGCTATATCTGTCAACCAGTGATTTAAATTATAATTCCTCCAGCGATAGCATTAGCAGTTTTTAATCTAACACACTTTTATATAGCAGTTTTAAAGTATACCTATTGACCCATACTGGAACTGAAAAATGTACAAATAAATATAAGTAAACTAAAATATTTTATAAATAATGTTTGTTAAAAAAAAGTGCCATCGTTCCTGAGTTAAAATATATAAATTCTAAACTAAGAACAATTAAACTGAAAGAAATCATCCGATTGAGACGCTTTGCTAGGATATTCTAGCTACTAAAATGCGTTTCGCTGTAATGTGTTTGCTACCGCAACAAATAAATATGTTGTCTCTACTTATTAACAGTTTACTTGGAATAACATTTTATTCAGTTGTCGATCCGTCTCGAATGAATTGCTTCCCTGGAGAAAGTGAATTTACTTTCTTGAAATTTATTCAGTTGCGAATGTGAATTCTTATTTGTATTAAACTAATGTTAGTGTAACTGAGTCCTAATTTAAAATTTCCCAGAATAAACTGGAATTTGTCTCAGTGCACTTGCGTATACGTTGACCGTTTACTCCCACCTGTAGCTAAACCCCTCTTCTTTTCTCTTCACCCAACTTCCAACTTCCTTGTTTTGACTCAATATCCTAGATACAGGGTGATTCATTAACAATGGGAAAATCGAAAGCTGAAGATACTACACGTGAAATGGTGACCATTGTCGCAAACATGCCTTATCCGAAAGTTGATTCGGAAATACAGGGTGTTGAAAGTTAAAATTTTAAATCGTTTTTTTGCGATTATTCTGAAAATATGTAGGTTAGGAACTTGAAAATTTGTGAAACTATATTTTTTTAGGCGACGAATAAGATGCGTGTTGTAATTTCAGCATTGCTCGTAGAGGGCGCCACTTACGACCAATTTTACCGAAAATTTAGTTAATAACTTTTTACCCTGTATGTCTAACATGAAACTTGATTCAAAACCTGAAGGAGCAATCATTTTTCCATTAATTGTGTATTCTTGTTTCATTCAATAAATATATATTACAAGTAAATAATTTTACTAAACCAATCTTTAATTAATTCTTGTAATAGAGATTTATTATGCAACTTTAAAATTTTTCATTGTGTTTCATTCATAAAAAAAATTACCTACCTCTGATCACGATAAACTTTTGTACACTTTTTAATAAAAAAAAACAAAAACACAAAATATTTTATTATTAATAAAAAATGTGTTTCTTACGTACCAGGGCGCGTCGGTGGCCGTACGGAGGGCTATGTTTTCCACAGCCTCTTCGCTCGCGCCACCGTCTCCACGATGTGCGGTTTCCACGTGAGACGTTGGTCCATCGTCACGCCCAGGTATCGTGTTTGTCGATTCCAGGAGATGGGTTTCTGGGATAGTGTCAGTCTGTCGAGGTTTCGTGGGATTTTTCGTTTGGTAAAAAGGATAGCCGAACTTTTATTGGGATTAATTTTAACTTTCCACCTATTGCACCAGGTTTCAAGTTGGTCTAAGGAGTTTTGGAGGAGGGAGACGGAATATCTAGAATCTACGGATTGGGATGTGATTGTCAGGTCGTCGGCGTATAAGTATATGTTGGTGTTGGGGGGATGTGGGATGTCGGAGTTGTAAATGGTGTATAGATGTGGGGACAGGACGGTGCCCTGGGGGACACCGGCCTCCATGGGACGGGTGGTGGAAAGGGAATCTTGGATTTGGATGCGGAATTTTCGGTGGTGTAGGTAGGATTTTATGAGTTTGGTAAAGGATATGGGATATTGGTTGGTGAGCATTTTCATCAGTAGGCCTTCCATGCCAAACCGGATCGAAGGCATTTGCGACATCCAGGGAGACAGCACCAGTGTACTGTCCCCTGTTGAAGGCCGCCGTGATGTGCTCGGTAAGGCGAAGGATTTGGAATTCAGTGGAGTGATTGGGTCGTAAGGCGAACTGCTCGTCTGGAATGACTTGCAGTTCTACCACTTTGCTCATAGCCGGGAGCAGGCTAATGGGCCGGTAGTTGGATGGGATGGTGTGATCTTTGTTGGGTTTTGGGATAAGGATTATACTTGCTGTTTTCCAGCGGGTAGGGAAGTGTCTTAGTCTGAGTGTCGCGTTTGTTATGTTTAGTAGGGCCATGAGGCCCTTGTGTGGTAGTAGGTGGGATGTTTTGAAACAAAATATACTTGTATTAACTCTGAAACCTTTAAGCGAAACTCGTTGGGAAAGTAGAATAAATGCACTTAGACCTTTAATTTTAAATTATAAGAACGTTTACAAAAGCCTTAATGGAATAATCGAAAACGAAAAAAAAGATTTAAAAACTAGAATTACAGCACAAGAATTAGTGGAGAAATTTATTTCATTTAAATTTATCTCATTGATAATTTGGAACGATTTTCTATCCGAAATTAATGTTGTTTTAGTAAAATGTCTCAAAATCCTAAAATTAACATTTCCGAATGTGTAACTGCCTCAAAAAATTTAATTAACTATATTAGTGAAAAAAGAACTGATGAAAGTTTTAATTTCATATATAAAAGAAGCTAACAGTAGCTGCAGAAGTTAATATTTTGCCCGAATTTCCTCTTGTACGTCAAAAAAAAGTGTCATGACAAAAGACGAGCCCATTATTGATCAAAAACAGAATTTTAAAGTACATTTTTATTTTAGTATATTAGATACCACGAACAATTCACTACAAGAAAGATTTTCTTTAATAGAAGTATCTAATAATTTACTTAAATATTTATACGAGCTTCACGAAATGGAACCAAAATTTTTGAGAAAATCATGTTCGGATATAGATTCTTATTTGCAACAAGGGAATGGGAACTTATTTTAACGAGAGATCAATGAAAATAAGCTCTATAATGAAATTTTATGTTTTAAAGCCATTGTTACATCGCTTGAAGAATCCAAACCCTACTTTATATTAAATTATATAATCACCAATGATCTTACGTCTTGTTTTCCTAATTTAGCCGTAGCTCTAAGAATATTTCTTACAGTACCTGTGACGATCGCCTCTGGGGAAAGGAGTTTTAGTAAATTAAAACTCATTAATAATTTCATACCGTCTACTAAGTCCCAAGAAAGATTGACAAACCTTGCCACTATTTCAATTGAACATGAAATTTGTCAAAACTTAGACATATCAAATATAATAGACGATTTTGCTTCTAAAAAAGCTCGTAGGGTTTTACTTTAATTTTATATTATATATTTTATTTATATATTTATTATATTATTAGATATTATATTATAGACTTATTTTATTTTTGTGATTTTTCGGTTGTGTATTTATTTTTAAGTTTATTTTTTATCGCATGTAAATAAATATGAATCTAAATACAATTAAGGTTTTTATTTTTTTTTTAAATAATTTTGTTTCATGAAATGTTCCTTATCAAATATCACAAAATGATGGAGTGTCGATTTTTGACGTGACTTACTCAAACCAGTATTTTTATTTCAAAATTTCATCAAGAGTAGGGCGGCAATTAATTTTTAGCACGGGGCGGCAGAAGATCCAGGAACGGCACTGGCGATAATCCCGCTCGACCCCGCTCCATCCGAGGTCATTTTTCCTGCCAAGGATATTGGCGCGCGAATATTCAGTCGACAGTCGACGAGTCGACATATAGAAAGGCTTTAGTGAGTGTAGTTTTTTCTGGTGTACAAATACCTAGTGCGTGCAGCAACTAACTTTTTTTACCATCTCCCATATTTTGTCAACACATTGAAGTTGCTGTAGTATCTACAAGGTGTTTGTAAATAAGTGCGAAATATTTTAGGGGGTTGTTGCCGAAGTTATAAATATGCTTCGTTTCCGAGATACAGAGTGTTTAAATTTTATTTTTTTATTTATTTTTATTAATTACTTCAGTTTTAAAAATATTGACTTGAAATTTGAAAAACGCTTTGGAGGGATAAATATACATTTTTGATGAGTGATTCGAATATTTTTATTTCCACCAGTGGCGTTCGTGTGAGAATGCCACAACCTTTTTTAATACAAAAAATTGTACGCCACTGACTATCCCGTTTTGATATTTTTTTAGAAATCCGCCATCAATTCTGAATGAAATTGGTCCCTTCAATTTTCTCGTAAAATGCACTGTTTTTGAGGAAAAAAATAAAACATTATTTTTAATTTCTACTGATACGTTATCTAGTAGGTTGCTGTCAATATTTCTAAATAAAGTGCAACCATCAAATTTCGAGTTAATATCTTTAAAACTCTTTGAAATTGATAAAAATAAATAAAAAAATAAAATTTAAACACTATCTCGGAAACGAGGCATATTTCGACCTTCGTTTATTAGAACTTTTTTCAAATAACTTCGGCGATCATCCCCTAAAATATTTCGCACTTATTTACAAACACCCTGTATAAGTACCCCTGAGGTCTTGTATAAATCAGTCAGTGCCATGGAACTTCGTGCTCCAGTCCAGCAGCCAATGTACCGTGAATGAACTGAAAATAATTTTGAGAGCATTGTCGTTATGGATATTCACATATTTTGTTTAATTTAATTTAATTTACCCAACGGGAGAAACCCAATTACAGGATGAATATTACAGCTAAAATAAATATACGTTAACACAAGAAACATAAACATTTAAAATAAGTAAAAATAAAAATTACCAAAAAGAACAAACAAATTAGAAACAATGGTCAATCAATCAATAAAAAAATAGCAAAATGGTAGTCACATAAGAATTAACATATCTAACAATCATATCACAACAGAAACAACAACATAAGTAGGTAATACAAAAACTAAAAAGAAATTAAAAATCCGATAACTCAATTGTGAGAATAGAAAATTCTTTTATATGTGCTAAACAAGTATTGAAAATGTCAAGGCTATTCTCCATATTTTGATAATTAAAAAGCATTTGATGTAAAGGAGACCACCGCAACATATTTGTGCGTGAAG